CTAGAGTTTTTCCCAAAAAGTCAAAAATTGACCCTGGGCCCACATGGTCAAAACCCGAGGTTCGAACCAAAACCCGATTACCCATTCACCCACGAACTCGAATATATAATTTGTTTTGAAATCGGACCTCAAATCGAGGTCCAAATCCTCAAAATTTAAAAAACCTAAGTTCTACCCAAAACACCGACTTTGCCCCATGAAAACCTTTGATTTTGAGTTGAAATCATGAGAAAAGATGTTAAAGATTAATAAAAACGAGTTAGAAATGACTTACAATCGATTTGGAAGAGTACTTGTCTTTGAAAAATCGTCTAAGAGTGTTTAGGTTTTGAAAGGGTTTGAAAAATGGTTGAAAATGCGTCTAAGTTATGATTTTGCAGGTTGCAGATGTCGCAATTGCGACCAGGATTCGCAATTGCGAACCCCTCAGACTGCTAACTTCGCAAATGCGAAGCTTTTGTCGCATTTGCGACCCAGCTTATTTCCGGTCACCTTCGCATTGGGACCTTTCGCAAATGCGATGTCGCATTTGCGATACAGAAGTCGCATTTACGACCAAGGCAGCCCAGGTCGGGTATCGCATTTGCGATGTTTTCTCGCATTTGCGAGCTCGCATTGCGAAGCCTGCAGACCTGCAACATACCAGCTGAAAACCTGCAACTTCCTAAGTTCAATTACACTCCGTGGCCTATCCAAAACTCACCCGAGCCCTCGGGGCTCCAAACCAAATATGCCCACCAACCCAAAAATACCATACGGACTTGCTCGTGCAATCAAATCACCAAAATAACACCAATAACAATGAATTGAACCCCAAATTCATGAAATCATCCAAGAACACCCAAAATTCCAATTTCTCGACTTTAAGTCCGTTTTATACCAAACCAATCCCGATCTTTACCAAATTTTACATATTCAACCAAATTATTATTTCAAACTTGTACCGGGCTCCAGAACCAAAATACGGGCCCGATACCATCAAATTCGAACATATTTCATTTCCAAAAACTCATATATATTCCAAAAAACAATTTTCTTTAAAAATTTATTTCTCGGGCTTGGGACCTCGGAATTCGATTCCGGGCATACGCCCAAGTCCCATATTTTCCTACGGACCCTCCGGAACCGTCAAATTACGGGTCCGGGTCCGTTTACCTAAAATATTGACCAAAGTCAACCTAAATTCATTTTAGAGGCAAATTCATCATTTTTCACAGATTTTCATGTAATGGCTTTCTGAATACACGCCCGGACTGCGCACGCGCATTGAGGTGAAACAAAAAGGAGGTTTTAAGGCCTCGGAACATAGAATTTACTTTCAAAATGAGTGATGACCCTCACCTCAGTAGAAAACCCTACAATATACTAGCTTTTTCTTTTCTCCATTCTTGCTGCAGCAGCCTTCTTCTCCATCCTTTTCTCCATTCTTGTTACAACGTACTCTGCTTTCTTCTTCGTCTTCTTCCATAACTTTTCTCTCTCTTTCTTTCATTTCTTTCTTTACACTTCCTCATTATTTTCCCCTCTCTTTCTTTTCCTTTCATTTCTTCGTTTACGCACCCCTCATATTTTTCAGTAAAATACTTTTACATTTAGTTTACTAATAGTAGACCAAATATATATACTGCTCCTTTCTGTAAATTTCATAGGTCGTAACTACGACTTTTGTGGCTAATTTGCCAACTTTTTCTTTTATCTTTTTTGGAGGTTTTCATTTTTCAACTCAAGAATAGCAGCAGCAGCAACTCAAGAATGGATTTGATTAACAAAGAAAACGCGTAGAGGGTTTATGACAAATGATGAGAATAATTAACTATCTCCATTCTTTGGCCAATTGTTTCCGTTTAGAGTAAATAAAGGATTAATTTTGAAGATTTCAACTTGAAATTTCTAATGGATTCTTGGAAAGGGGCTGATGAATTAGAAGCTATGAACGAAAAATATAATATTATGTTCTTTATAATGTTAACAACTTTAAGGATATTTCAGTCATTTTAACAAGAAAAAGTGTTTACCAGCACTTCTTTACCAAATACTTCATCAGTTTTTTTCCAGTTTCAGCACTTTTATCCAAACACGTAACTGCTTATTTATAAAACAAGCTCCATAACTTATAATGTGCTTTTAAGCAATTAACTTAAAAGCCACTTTTTTTAAGCCAATCCAAACGGGCTCTAGGTTTTTTTGTGATTTAGCTATACAATGCTAATCTTTTGGGGCTGCCTTTGCCAAATTTAATCTAAGGCCAAAAAGTTTGTCAATTCCTATTATATATTGTCACCCGAAATTAATTTCTCTGGTAACTTAGAATATACTCACATTGATCTACCTATAAATATAGAGAAAATTTTACAAACCACTATTGTTTAGTGGTTATTAGCTAGTTGTAGCTATCATTTACTATATTACTTCCTATAGCTATGTTTTCAGGTTTTTTAGAGTGTATTCGATGTATTTAAGCTACTGTATTCATGAATACAGTAGCATTTCTCGGCGTGAAACAGGGGATTACAGCTAGACAGATTATTATATTCGACTGTATTCACGGCGTGAAACAGGGGATTATAGTTAGACAGATTATTGTATTCAACTGTATTCACGATATGTATTTGTGAATACAGTAACGTAAATAGCGCAGTTCATGGTCTATTCAGCTGTTTTTAAACGGAAAGTGAATTAATTAACATAATAGATTCCTAATATAACTCAACAAACTCAATTATAAATTTGAATACATAAATTATATTAATTTAAAAAGCATATCAATACATTCATGGAATGTAGCAAGACAATGATTACAATAAAATACATGAAATACAGCGAGATACATTGAAATACAATGAAAAAAGGTAGCAGACTCTTCAATTTACCCTATAAAAATTATCGACCAAAATTGTATTGTGCAAATACTATAAAGATTTGTGGGGGACCTGAGAGTGATCACGTTTCATGAGGGACATTAGTGTATGGGCGGCCAGTCGGAGCTCCGAATCAGAGGAACGGACCACCGATGGCTTTGAGAAGGCGGGGATCCATTTCCGGTCTAGTGGAGTTGGTGGCTTTATCAATTAACCCTACCACCACCATTTTTTCTTTTTTCTTCCTCCATCGAGGTTACCTATTTCATGGGTTATCTCCTCTGAATCCACTTTTGTTTTCCACGGTATTTGGAGATGAAAAATTCCACCGACTTGATTTCGACATTGATTCAGAGCCCTAGGCCACTAACAATAAAAATTTCGTTCGATAATGGAGATGAATCGATGGAGAATCATGGTTGTATTCATGGAGAAAGACTGGCGTTGAGAGAGAGAGGGTGGAGAAAAATCTGAAAGAATGAGAGAGAAAAATAATACAAAGCGTATTTTATGGCTTAAGGGTAGGAGGTGACCATAAAAAAAGATATTTCGCTATAAAAATCAAAAGGTAGCTATGGAATATAATTTTTTAAAAGGATATTTATTTAAAAAAATTAAGATATCAACCTTTGCTATAGGAGGTAAGAATTCCATAAATATATACCCAGCCCGACCCACATGCTATATTTCATGGTCTAAATTTGTCACCATAACTCTAACCTCTATTTTCTTTGACATCATGTGACAAATCTAAACATTTTAACCTAAATTTTAAGACGATATGTAAAAAATTACAGAACTTTTGACAACCGCTTATACAAAGAGGGGTTAAGCATATAATTCTTTAAGGTTGAACATCCTTGTTTTTTTTCTGGGAAATGGTTTACTAAATTGACAAGAGGCGCATTTATATTGACCAATTATATTGCTGCAAAATCTGTCATTTGGCACTGGAAAACTCCAATTGCGGTTAAATGATGGAATTACTTGTAACTTTTGAGTTGCCGGAATCAAGAGTTTCAAAAGGCATGCAATAATTACTTTCGAAGCTAAGATTTTCACCAGATAGTCTTAAATCTCATGTGACCAAATGACTAGGCCACAGTCTAGAATAGTACTGCACCTATTGTGCAACCACTATTCAGTCGGGTTTTACTGAACTCCACGTGGCCTGATACGATTTTACAGAGACTTATGAGTGCCGGATACATTTTTATCGACCTATTACGGTCGGGTACGATATGATGCTGATGATGATGCCCACAGGGGCGTATGTTTTTTAAAAGTATATGCATATATATGTATCATACATTTCATGTCAGTCGCCCTCAGAGGCACTCAGATATTACAAGTTGTATCTTCTCTATCTCTTTTTACATTACTGTTCTTATTTATACTTTCTTGTCTTACATACTCGGTACTTTATTCGTACTGACGTCCCTTTTTGCTTTGGGGATCCTGCGTTTCATGCCCACAGGTCCCGATAGACAGGTTAATGGTTCCCCTAGTAGGCTATCGGGTCAACAAAAGGTGTTGGACACTCCACTTGCTCCGGAGTTGCCTTTTTGGTCAGTATACCTTGGACATGTATTAATTGGTATGACGAGACCATGTCCCGGCCTTTATGACTTTTATGTATTCTTAGAGGTTTGTAGACAGATGTCATGTATATGGATGTTTGTAAGGCTTTGTTAGCCTAAATGATCGTGTCGGCCTTGAGGGGCGGATCCAGTATATTAGTTACGAGTTCCCGTAAACCCAATAACTTTTGCCTAAATCCGATATTTGTATTGAAAATTTCATTAAATGTATAAGCATATTTGATTTGGAAACTAATCCATTAATCCAGTTATTATTGTTTATTAACTTGAGATTTCTGTAGGAACCCATAAACTTCTGGATCTGTCTCTGTCAGCCTTATAGATCCATTTATCATATGCATAACTTTGTATACCATGTTGGGTCGTCCTATAACGAATATTCTCTTATATTTTATTTTGATTATCTCATGATGGCCTTTCCGGCACATTTACGCATGATAGTGTATTAATGAGAACACAAGAAAAGAAACTTTAAGTATCTAGAGAAACTAACTTATCAAATGATGAACTGCTACAGACAGTATCACACCTAATTCCAGTGTTTAACTCTACCAAGAAAGTGAATGCACGGTTTAGCACTTAAACCCAAAAAAGATATCCTTGTCAGTCACGGAAAGTTATACATGTAGAACAATAAATGAAATATATAGCCATTGTTTTTATGAGTATTCAACGATACCCAGTTTGGAGCTGCAAATATGCCCTGCTATCTCTTCTACCATTGTTCTATGACTTACCCCAACCAGCAAGTGGCAGTAAGATACCAAGCCGGTCATGGTCACACCATTCAAAAATTAAAAGTAGTTTCACACTCAACACGCCCTTACCCCGTGGAGGGGGAGGGGGAAGATACAAAAAGGAATACCACTAGCGACGGCAGCCCTCTTCGTATTCGGAAGAGAGGAGGTGCAAATACAAAAGAACCCCACTCGTTAGCAGCACTCTGTGTCTCTACAAGGGAGGGCAGAGACAGAAGGCATAAGATCGAAAATCAAACCAAAAATTGCCTCAATATCAATGAGTTACAGCACCAGCAGACAGAGGCACATCTGTGCTGAACGACTCCCATTGAACTTCTCTTAATATTTTAAATCTTTCATCAAATGTCACAAACCCAGCTTGAGGTACTACAGAGCCAGATGTTCCAGCTTTATAGAGCAAAACTGTGGTGGCCCCAATATCAGGTCCATGAAGCTTTCCTGTTAGCAACACCCGAAGGGGCATGAAGAGAGATTTTCCCTGGTACATAAAGCAACCTTATTAAATACTGAAAATAATCTTAAGGGAAAAAGAAAATACTCAAATCTAACCTTGCGCTTCAGCAATTTACCAAAATTCTTCACCCACTTTTGCCATCCAGGTTGGCCTTCTGCAAGTGCACCAGAGAGCTCGCCACTGTCGTAGGCAGCTAACAAGCTCTTAGCAACTTCAGAAACCCCATCTTCTAAGATTGGTTTTCCTTCAGCGCTGCAAATGGCATAGCGTATATCATAATAAGTAAGTCACATACTATAATCTTTTCTCCTTTAACATCATTTCAGGCCTTCTAATAGATAATTGGTTGCCCTTTACAAAGAATCGATGTTTTGTTGAATTGTCTTTTGTATTCAATTTGTAAAGGACTAAATGGGGAATCATTTTTGAGGAAATTATCTTCTCTTCGCCTTGTAAATGGGGATAGCCATCCTTTTTGCTATAATTAATACCTTTACTTATTCGAACAAATTAAGCTCATTAATCAACAAATATTTTCATTAACGCCTTAATGAATAGACCAAGTTGAAATTGTTGAAGACATAATTAAGTAAATAAAAGTGTGTTCTCTCTAACAGCTTAAGCTTTTAGATGAGATGGTTACACACTTCAACAATGTACCAGAGCAGACTGAGGTCTTGGGGTCGAGTCTCATCGCCACCCAATATCAAAAAGAATTTTCACGTGCTTGGCTCATCAAAAAGAATCAAGTCCGCATGTGAGGGGGCGTGTTGAAGACATTTTCTATCTAGACTATTCATTCTCTTTAACTAGAGAAATTTTCATCTATAAGCATCACATAGTACAGTTTCAAAAGAGGATTTCATAAATCACCTTGCCAAAGTTTCATATAAAGGATAAGATAGCAAACTTGAAAGCGCTTTCTCTGAATCTGTTATCAAGTCAATCCCATCCTTCAGGAGCAAAACAGCATCCTGTACATATAGAAAAGTTAACAGGTATAAGAACCATAACTCCAATGTACACTGAACATCAACTTTTGAATTGATGTTTAACGAATAGCATTTATGCAACAGCCATGGGGGAAAGGGGGGAATATTTTCAGCATTTCAAAAGTTTCGATCATGTTTGACATTTAGCTAATTCTGTACCTGATGCATCCAGAATCATACCAGCAAACAAAACCACCAGCTGTGTATTCTACCTCGACTAATTCAACTTTTGCAAAAGTTCGGTCTGATTTTCAGTTAGTGAATTTTGATAACTGAAACGGAACCGTAATAAATTCCGTACGGTTTCGTTTTTTTCATGTTTGGTTTGATTTAACGGAAAAGGTCCAGATTTATCCCAGTACTATTGAAAATATTTTACATGTATCCTCCGTTATAATTTTCGTCTAAATTTACACCTACCGTTAGTACAGTTAACAAATTTGCCCTTATACCTAACGGATATCTACAGTGGCCATCAGACGCAGTAAATAAAATGCTAAGGTAGAGTCCATGTCACCATTTTTTACTAATATCTTATTTTTTTACATTTATTAAATTAGAAAATTTAAAGAGAAATTGTCCCACATTTAACCTAGTTTTGTTTAATAACTCACTCCCTCTCTCCTTTACCAGTTATCGGCAACGGCGAGATCAACAGGCCAGTTAACCAGCAAATCAGATCTCTCTCTCTCTCTCTCTCTCTCATACTGTATCCGCCTGCAACCTACACGAAAACACCCACCAGCACCAGAAACCAAATCTGTCCGAACACCACCGGAAGCCACCAGACCCAAAAATTCTTCGACCACAATTTACCTTTCTTGCTTACCCAAATTCAGATCCTAGTCAAAAAAAATGAAACGCTGGTGAACAGCACTGGCCTAAAAACGGCCTAAGTTGCTCCGACATGGCAGTTTAGGTGCCGTACCCGTGTCGACACGACACTAGTATGGGTGTGGGTGTGGGTGTGGGTATGGGATCCGTACCGGATCTGGTCAAACAATTTCGGGTACTTTGACTACGACAGACGGAAAATTCGAGACGAGATACAATTTGGTTCCCAAAATCAGTATCCTAATAATTAGGGTAAAGTTGAAGAAAATAGCATACATTATCTAAGAAATCAATCATTTACTTATAACAACTTGAGAATAAAAAGAAATCCACACTTTACAGTCTATACTCAAGTATTTCACATAATTTCTCATAATTGAGAGACATTTTTTATATTTTTAGTTTTTTTGAATTGTTTTTAGCCGGATCCCTACACCCGTATCCGTACTAGGATCCGTATCCCCAAATCTTAGAATTTACATCTCGAAGGATCCGACCTCTAGATCCGTACCCGTGTCGGACATCCACACCTGTGTCCGAGCAACTTAGAAAACGGCAAGTCGGGGAAATACAAACAAACATAGATCTGTCCGAAAATAAGAAAAGAAGGGGTAGAAGCAGCTCCACCACCAGTATCTTGCCGGAAGTTGCTTCGGCATTTGTCGCTGTTAGTAGCAGTGTCTGACATTTTCTTTGCCACTATTTTGCTGGTTTATTTCTTAATTGGATATAATTGATTTGAATAATACTACACTGCTAATTAACCTTGGCCAAGAAAACAAGCAAGAACTTTCAGTTCTTGAGTCCTTTTCTCTTTAACAATCAATGAAGACATCGATTTTAGGTGATCCTATGTGATCGATTCAAAGATAATGAAAGTATCTAAAGCTTATTCTCGACCTCAACTTCTTCAATGGTGCCACCTGACATGGCTCTTTGTAAGGTTCTGATAGTGCTTTGCTTTGAGGATAAAATTTGTAGAAGAAAAATATGTTAAATTGTAGAGAATTTTTTTCCAAGGGTTTCTCTTTTTTGGGACAATTTCTTTTTAAATTTTCTAATTTAAAAAATAAAACATTTTTAAAAAAAATGGTGACTTGGACTCCACATTGCATAAGGATGCTCCAAGGGGCTAATAGATAATTTTCTTTGTACTTTCCATGCTAGAGTTTAGCCCTATTTGTTAATTGTCCTCAGCCTAGCATTGAAACAAGTGAAATTAATGTTTTAAAATGTTATAGCTACAACTAAGTTTCAGGAACATCAGTAGCCTTATATCCCCCAGATCCCAGAGTTTAAATCAGAAAATTAGAAATTTAGGATTCGTTTACATCAACATACATCAAATTAAGATTTTCAAGTTTTGATAGAAGGTTGTTAAAATTGCCATCCAACTCCTACAACCCCACAGTTTTATGGATCGAAATATACTGAAGCAACCCTGCCATGAAAACACCTTAATGTGATATACTTAGAGAAATATACCAACCTTTCCAACATCAAGTCACTTTCACTTAGAGAAATATACCAACCTTTCCAACATCAAGTCACTTTTACATTATGTAACAATAAATTTCTTAATTAGCTTGCTAGTTAACAGCACAAAGAATGTGTTTCACACTTCTAAATTGTAAGATGTTTTGACTTTCCTGATAGCCTCTAAGGATAGTACATTTTGATATCATATTACAATTTTCGTTCCAACTCTTTTATGAGACATTTAGGTCATAAATTTATAATGTTTTATAAGGTACTGGGGTATCTTTTTTTCTTTTTCCGGTAACTTTGCATAGAGACACTATCTGCAACAATTTATAACTTGAAGACCCGACCCCAGAGAATCTTAAGTTATCCTAAGTAGGATCTTGAGTTTAATGACTTAGTGTCATATCCGGCACCAAACATCCCTGATTCATTCAGTCATGCAAAAAGAATCCCTGATTTAATTCAACTGGCCGTGTTGCACTAGGTCTATCCAGAATTAGCCAGCCAAGTCGTAGCAGACCATCACATGGTAAAACAACTACCTATAGTGATACTGCTGCTTGTTGCATTTCATACAAGGGTCTGCAACCACTTTACCCCATCTTGCACCAACAGTGCATTAAGAACAAGCTACATCAGAAGCTATCAGTCACAATACATAAGAAGGTGCTCCCAACCATTAACACGGAACTGTCAGATCACATCACATTGCACAAACATAGTTTATTCTTCTTGGATTGGTAAAACTTAGAAGGGATAGGAACAATCACTTAAGGAAGAATGAGAGTCAAACTCTTCATCGAACAGGCTACAAGATGTGGTGGAGAAAAGAAAAAAAGAGAAAAAGTTCGACCTGTATAAAGATTCCTTGTGATTCTGTAGTGATGCCTGCGTCCTTCCACCTTTCACCAATAATTCGGTTCAGCTCTTCAGATGGTAGAGATCTCAAATGCTGACCATTCATCCACCTGAAGTTCATATTCACATTTTAAACAAGAATCAAGAAATGTAAAACCAAGAAATCCTATCTATATAGCAGAAGAAAATATAATACCTTAACTTGGTCGAATCAAAAATGGCACCACTTTTGTTTACACGTTCAATTGTGAACTTTTCAACTGCAAATGAGATGAGAAGCTATCACACTTGAAAGGCAAATAAATAGAAATGAATGCAAGCTAAAATTAGCTATGTGAACATCAGCGTAGAGGCAACCAACTGACCAAGTTGTTCAAGAGTGAAAAACTCATTTTCTGTACCATCACCCCATCCCAAAAGAGCTAGATAATTCACCATTGCCTGAGGCAAATAGCCCATGTCCCTGAACTGTCAGGGAAAAGGAAAACACTGAGATTTCTCCCTTTTCCAGTTCAAAAGGAAAGGGCAGAGAAAATCCAAAGCAAAGGAAGAACATATTTTGCCCGACATGTAAACCCCTAAAATTGTTTCAAAAGGGAAGCATGCAATAACATGTCAGTCATTTACCTGACCAACTGAAGTTGCACCATGCCGTTTAGAGAGCTTGCTTCTATCAGGTGCAAGAATTAAAGAAACATGCGCAAAGTGAGGCATCGGAAAACCTAGTGCCTACAACAAGGTAACAAGGAAATTTCTCCATGAGCTTCTAGAAGTGAAATCATATACCCAGAACTGCCTAAGGAGGAGACCGGGAAAAGCAGTACCTTGTATATTAATGCTTGCCTTAGAGTATTCGGCAAATGTTCCTCTGCTCTGAAGCATCAAGATTTCATTAGTGCTCGAGTGCCAAATAAACAATTCAAAAAGACATGCTACATATTGAAAAGTGGCTGTATCCTGTGCAGAAAACAAAATAGTACAACCTATGTTACAGCGAGTCATAGCCTCAGGTACAAATTATGGCATGGGTAAGCTCGATGTTTAGCAAGGTTTTTGTACAATCTCAAGGTAACCATGTCATACTCATTTGACAATGGTGTATCAAGGAAAACAAATGAGTCTGTGTAGTGATAGCACACAACTGAAAGGAAACAAAATTGTTCTTGCATATGTTTCTATATAAAAAGAAAGTTCATGTATAATAGTCAGTTCCTGACATTTCAGGGCCTCATCAGTCCATGTATATATATTTACTTCTTCGTATAGTTACTTCTTTATACTTTGACTCCTCTTAATGAAAATCCTGGCTCCTCCAATGGGCCTCACTAACACCAATCTTAATCCACCTTCAAGTGGAATAAATTTTGTTAATCATCATTTCATAACGCCATAATATTGAGAACTAATTTAAACACATATTTACATCATGACTGATGTTTCATTTTAACAACTAAAGATCACTATAATCATATTACCCTCTTTGTCGTTACTCAACTTTTCAATGGAAATTTTACAATGCCTTTGTCCTATAGAGTATAGCATCAGTTCTGTCATACAGTATTGAAATTAGATTTCTCTAATACCTTATGACATGGGAGATTGCCATAGTTGCATCATCAACTGTGACACAAAAGTTGTAAACAGGTTGTCCATTACTTCTCATGATCACAAAATCTCCAAGTGTGTCCAAGTTCCAACTGACCTTCATGAAATTGCAACAAAGTTAGTCCACTATAATAACTGAGATGCACTAGCAATTTGCCCGTGCCTTGCATGAGAAATTTCCAGCATTTTTTACTTTCTTGTCAAAGATAAGAAATTCACAGCTATTTAACTATTTCCTCTTCTTTTTCTGATAGGGAAAATAAACTTTTATTCCATTGTCAAGTACCAAGCAGGTATTATTACACAGAAGTTTTGCAGAATTTATAGGACTTCTCAATTAAAGGAGTACATGGATTCCAACAGATATTCTAGTCCTACTGAGTTCTTCCTAACCCAAAAATATAGATTCTGTAAGCATTTAAACTTTACAAAAGGTAATGACAAAAAATTATTCTTAGAACATCTATGGTTCCTTTTCACGCCGTCCAGAAAATATACAAAGGGACATTTCTCCATAATTTCTACAGCTTCTTTGTGCACTGTCAGTGCCAGCTGATATAGATAGCAAATTTCAATTTAAAGAACTTCTTATCATTACCACTTCGCCTATTGTGCATCATTGAGAAAAAAGGGGGGAAACAAAAAAGAAAGAAGAAAGAAAAATTCACAAGAAATAAATATGCAATGATACTTATGTATTATGGTATTAGCTTCCTACAGTACCTTTTTTATCTAGTTTCTAATATCACTAAGTTCCACTCCCTATTTCCCAATCTAGACTATTGGTATTCTATAGTACTCTTTTACCTAGTTTCTACAATCTCCAAGTTCTAATACCCTAGAACCCCAAGCCCATAATCATCACCAGACCACTACACAACAATTACAGAGTTTGAAACCACCAATTGATGCCCTAGAGAAATTAGCCCATCTATCCAAATAAGGCATTGGACTCATCTAGCCATAGCTCTTACTTTAAGCAAGAGTCACCCCCAACTTAATTATTCCCTACGAAAAAAACTAGTCAGAACCACCCCTTTTCTTCCCTTTTTCCCCTTGAAAAAGTACCCCCTTTCTTCTTTTGTTTCTAATCTTCTAGAAGATACGAGGAGAATATCATAACACAACGTTTTAGCAATAAAATTGCCATTGTTAGCTTGGACGATATCTAAGAAAAATCTTCAATTTATTCACCAGTTGGCGGTTCAACATAATAAGTTTGGACAGGAATGATGACAATAAAAAAAAGAAAGAAGCACCAGCTTAGATGGGAATAAATTTTACTGGTACAAATTAGTTGAGAAATATCACTAACTTCACCACGAATGAGGTCATCAATTTTTAATCTCCCTTCTTTTGGTACTCGAAATCGGTATGTGTATGGGGTCCCTTTTGCCAGCTCTTCTACCACTTCCTCCTCTGTAGCACTTGCCCACCTCCCAGTGTATACTGGAGGCAACTGCTTCAACTTTGCAATCTCTTTCATTTTTTCTAATTCCTGCACAACAGAAAATGCTTTATTATTACACTGTCATTCAATACGATATACTAAGACCACAAAATTGGACAACGTATTGACCCATCAAGCAGATAAACAATGGAGCAGTTTAAGAGGCATCAAACTTGTGAGCATCATGCTCCTGAAACTAGTCTAATAGATGGAATCCAAAAGGATTCTGTAGCACAAATATCTGCTTCTGTGAACTTACATTCTAGATGTACAGATTTCTAACTCTCAAAATTCACACTGTAAAACCAGCCAGCATACCCAAGGAAAGAAATGATAATTCAATACAATCACCTCATTTGAGCAAAAACATCGATAAACATGACCGGATTGTAAAAGCTTTTCAGCAAATTGCTTGTAAAGGGCATTCCTCTCAGACTGCCTGTATGGTCCATATTCCCCACCAATTCCAGGACCTGCAAAAAAGAAGATGTCATCATTTTTTTAAATATTTTGATAGGTAAAAGAATATGTCATCAATAATTGTGATCGCTTAGAAATTAGAATTACATCTTAAGAAAAAAGAAGGATGAAAAATAAGACAGAATTTAAAGACTGTCCCAATGTCCCAATGACAAGCAACAAGCGACGAGGATTTGATTCCTCGCCTTCAATATGAGTCTCACCTTATAGCATTTGCTACTAGCTAGTTTTCCTTATTGCGAACTTAAAAACAGCATTAGCCTGCGGTTTTCCTTATAAAAAAAAACTTTAAAACAGAAAATTATAAAGGCAACAAGCAATTAACAGGTCACAAAGTAAAATAAAGAGATTGGTGCGAGTCAAAAGGCACGCTTTCAATCTGCTGATTGATAAGGAAATCAGTATTGCGCAAAGCTGGACCAGTGATGGTTAAAAGTTAGAAATTAGAAGATATTTTAAGAACTGGGAAATAGAAAGGGTTACACAGTTATTACAAGTTTAGAACCAAATTAGAGTGATGGATAATCAAAAGGATTCTACATGGTGGAAAGAGAAGAACAATGGGGTAGCTTTACTGCCAAGTCCTGATACTAATTTTTGCTAAAGAAGGGGAACTGGAGGAGGAGCCTTGGAAGAAGCTATGGAAACAAAAGCTGGATATCTGTGGGTGGATTGCTTCACATGAGGCATGTTCTCACACAAGACCTTTTATGTGAAAAAGACATAGAAACTGTAAGACATCCTTTTTTACATAGCAGATTCACAGGATAGACATCAGGAGTAGGTTTTTGAACATATATGGCATCAATTGGGTGATGCCAGGGACTGTGAAACGAGCATTAGCTTCTCAGCAGGGCTGCAAGATGAGAGAAGAAATCAGAAAGCTATGGAATGCTATTCGTTACACATTTTTGGACAGTGTGCCAGTGTGCCTTGCAGGGAATCATAGATATTCTGAAAGGAAAATAGAAAAGATTTTCTCTTGTAAAGTATAGAGGCTTATATAATTTAAAGTGTTGGCGAAAGGATACATTTTAAATGATAAAGAGTCAATGCTGGAATTCATAGATAGTCTCAGCACTACGGTGAAGTAATTCCCAGTTTTTTGTGTAATTTTGTACTTTCCACTACCTCTTTGGTGCAGACTTTTTTTTTTTTTATAAGGTAAATAATTGTTGCTAATAAAATTGTCTTACTTTTAAAAGCACATATTTAAATTAATGCTAACGAGTCCGTAGTTTTGATTTTGACTGTGTTGAAAATATAACTAAAAGAATAACCATGACACATTTCCACATGGTATCAGAGTAGACACAAATCCTGGGTTCAAATCTCACCGCCAACCATAATTAAAAAGAATATCCACATGTTTGACCCATGAAAAAGACAGGCTCCCATGAGAGGGAGTGTGTTGAAGATATAACTAAATGAATAAAAATGTGTTATCTCTAATAGCTTAAGCTTTTAGATGACATGGCCACACACTTACACAAACTGCGGCATTCGAAAAGTCATAAACGTGTCAGCTTCATTGGATCAATTTATGACACTAATTTTAGCTATTGAGCTTTGTCAGTTTTGTATGTGCAGAATATCAACAGGCTTGTCCAAAAGTTCCATTCTAAGGACGTTAAGAAGACAAGCCAGAAACTGTCCATCTTTTTGAGATATATCAGGCATTGCATTATCCAGATAACTCAAATTGAAGCAATTGGACGTCCAACTCTGGCCTGTATGATATGATTGATCAATAGATCCACCTTTGTCATATATTCCACACATCACACTAGATAGATATCACATTCATGGAATATGATTCACTTTTAAGATGCCTTGGTGGTGAAATATGAGACACGCGAGACTCAAAATATCATGCTAAATAGCATGGAGGTTTGATTCCGCTTCAAGACATAATATTGAGCATTCTCAATAAGAGAGCTCGGATCGAAACGATATATCTTGCAGCTACCTGAGCTTACTCAGCTTAGGCTCATTACTTCACAAGCCTAGTCTAAAGAAGAAATACTTTAAATACTTGTTTGACTGAGACGGCATCATTTTTTATATAATATTGCTGATGAGTTGGGGATTTACTATAATACTTGTGTTACTAATAAATCTTATATAAGATGTAAGCTCAGCTCAAACCTTTAGTTATATACAACAAGACACTGACATCAGAAATCTGCAATTTAGCAAAGGGAAAGAAAGGGTGGTAGATGATAGAACCTTCATCCCAAGCAAGACCAAGCCAAGAAAGGTCACGAAGCACGGCCTCCTCAGACTCCTTTGTGGATCTTTCCAGGTCTGTGTCTTCAATCCGGAGTATAAACTTCCCACCTTTTGCCCTGTAATTTAGAATAACATAATGTAACAGAGAAAGACAAGCGTTTCTCAATGGGTAAAATGGAGAAGAAAACAAGGAACCGGGACGGACCGCGCATATAAGTAGTTAAAGAGTGCAGTTCTAGCGCCTCCCACGTGGAGATTACCGGTAGGAGATGGCGCAAACCGAACTCTGACATCCCCTCCGTTCCCCGCTGAAGCATAAACTGAGAAACTCCTTCTACGGGAGCAGAGACTTTTCCGGTAACTGTGGTCGCCGCGACAGTATAGTAGTGACTGGCGGTTCTTTAACTCGGGGATCAACCTTGCTCTAAACCACGGCGCCGCCGCCAGCGTCGCCATTCTTCACTTAACTTCGGTGAAATCTGTTACCTTTCTGAAAGGAAAAGAAAACTAAGGATAACGATTTTTTACGTTTTGGAATATTCAACCTTTAACCCGATTTAATTTGCCCGGCCCGCCTTAATGAGCCCGCTTGTGACGCTCCAACCCCACCGTCTGACGTAGGTGAAATTGAAATTTTGCACAAGAATGTGTTTTTCCACTAAGTTTTAGGATAAATTACATTAAGCCCTCCTATAAGATTCACCCGGTTTTAATATCAAATACTTCCGTATTATGATAATTCTACACAATTATTAGCTGGGAATCTTACAGAAATGTACTAAAGAAAGACATTATTTACTAATAACTAGCCATTTTAATAATGCTATCAAAAAAGATTAAAAAAAATTATCAATGATATATAACATTCAAAAAATATAGGAAAAAAAAAAAATCAATGGCCATTGTTGTGATTCATTGAAAACGCATAAATAAGGTAATATAGAAAATTTGACGAAGTTTGAAGACGAGTTAGACTAGTTTGGAGTCAAAATTCATTATCAATAATATAAAATATTAAAAAAAATAGGGCAAAAAGATTATTTTTTTTCAATCGGTATGGTTGGAATTCGTTGATGACATATTGATGAGGTAATACACAAATTTTGATCAAGATTTGAGGTGATTTGAATTGATTTGGTTGTAAAATTCGTAGTTAAAATCGAGTTTAAAAGATTCTTCTGCGACAAATGTGGCAAACATGTATTGCATATGTAACTCGTATACATGTATACATGAATATGCATGTGATGCACATTTGATACAGATATGATACATATTTGATACACAAATGATACCCGTATCATTTTTTTCACGTTCATCTTCTACTTCGAATTTTCATTTCAAACCACCTCAAAGCTCCACTAAATCATCCCAAACTAAGATTTAAACTCCTTAAGATGTACCCAATCTATTCAAATAATACTCACTCAAAGGAAAACAAAACATTGACCTTTTTTGATACAAATAGTTAATTGGCTAATAATGGTAACAATTGGCTAATATTAGTAATATTTTATGATTTGGCCAATTTTGAAATAGGCTACTTATAAATGGAAATAGCTGGTAGTTTCCCTTATTATTTTGACAAAATATTGTCCTCTGTATTCTAATTTACGTGATATAATTTGAGAATATAATAACTTACATTTTATGAGAATGTAAGTTATTTGTATTTTTTTTCTCTAAAAAATATACAAAATTTAATTTGTATGAATTTCTTATTTTCTATTTTAGTTTGATTCTTTTATTATTCTGATTCAAGAGATTTAAAGTTTATTTAGTAGATGAACGTGTTAATAGTTCGAATTTGAAAAATATAGATAACATCATGATATTTGTATAGATTTTTCATAATGTGGTGTATAAGCGTTTGATTTTAAAATACATGAAGTGCGTCTAAAGTTTAGTTGTATTATCACGATATTCAATGTAATTAACCCTAAAATTTACAAATAAAACTCGATTACTGCCAGCAAATAAAGTTTAGTTGTATTATCACGATATTCAATGTAATTAACCCTAAAATTTACAAATAAAACTCGATTACTGCCAGCAAATAGGGCGAATAGGTAATCTTATAGGGATGAAGCATACATACTCTTTCAGCTTGTGGCTGTTTTTATAAGGAAGATACATATAAATAATTACTCCCTAAGATGTGTAATTAAAAATTGAGGACACAATGAGTTATCTTTTATTTTCGAGAAATTTTCATAAAGCACTATCTATAGTAATTAGCCATCTATAGATACCATTTATTATATTACGGATTATGGATACATTTTCTGTGGTTATAAGATGTATTTCATGTATTTAAGCTATTGTATTCATGAATACAGTAGCAAAAATAGGCGTGAATCGGGGAAGTCCAGCTAATCGGTTGTTGTATTCAAGTGTATTCGACTGTATTCATGGAGTGAAACATGGGATTATAGCTGGACAAATTATTATATTCGACTGTATTCACGGCGTGAAATAGGGGATTACACTGTTTTTAAAACGGAAAGTGAATCAGTTAACATAATAGACTCCTAATATAACTCAACAAACTCAATTCTAACACACAAAATTTGTATTTTCAGTTATAAAAAAGATTCTCAACCGAAAAATACCCCAAAAATATAGCAATCTTTAGAGAAATTATATAATACATCTGAATACATAAATTATATTAATTAAAAAAATATATGAATACATTCATGGCATATAGCGAGACAGTGAATACAATGAAATACATAGAATACAGCGAGATACATTGAAATACAATGATAAAAAAAAGACAGTGAATACAATGAAATACACAGAATACAATGAGATACATTGAATTATAATGGAAAAAAAGGACAATGAGTACAATGAAATACATGAAAATACAGCGTGATACGTTGAAAATATATTGAAATATATTAACAGAAAATCAAGTTTCTCATCCCCAAAATCCGTCGTATTTGTTCAAGAACAAACCCTAATTTCCGGCGAATCCGCCGCCGAGCAAAAACCCCGAATCTCACTGTTCCACACATCCTGCACATTGCTTCTGACACATCTGGCAGTACCATCGTAGCTTTTGTGAGCCCTTAGCTTTGATTCGATTCGCAATAAGCCCTTACCAAATATCTGCTAACCCTTTCTAGTTGTTGGTCTGTTTGTTTCAATTGGGTTTTGTGTGTATGTGATGTACAAATCATACAACATAGACATAGTATCTATCTATGGTTGAATGCCACCTCTTCGTGTTTATCTCTCTTCAGTTATAATCCTATGAAAACTCTTCACATGCCGCCTCACTTCACTTTCACTTCCTCTGTGTTTTTCACAATTCAAGAAAATCTCCCTGTTTGTTTGATTTTTAACCTTGAAAAAACAAGAAAAGCCTTTTCCTTGTGAATTCATAATTCACGGAGAAAGATTAGCGCTAAGAAAGAGTGGAGAAAAATCTGAAAGAATGAGAGAGAAAAATAATACAAAGCCTATTTTATGGCTTAAGGGTAGGAGGTGACTATAAATAAATATTTGGCTATAAAAATCAAAAGATAGCTATAAAATATAATTTTTTTAAAAGGGTATTTATTTAAAATAAATAAGGTATCAACCTTTGCTACAAGAGGTAAAAATTCCTTTATTTTCTGCCATACACATTATGTCAGTTTTCCGTTGAACGAATTACAGCCCATGTCACTTGGCCTAACAGCCCAACCGAAAATGGCCCACATTTGAAGCTCTTACCCTATTTAGCCAATGTTGTACATAACTTGAAAGAAACTTTTCAGCCTTTAGCCCGCTATTAAAGACATACTTTTAGGGTTTTTATTATTTTCTTCTTTCTTCATTCCCTTCTCTCTCACCGCCTCTCACTTCTTTCTTTCTAACCCACATAGATCCCTCATCCTCTCTTAACCTAGCCCCTGCTATTCCCCCTCCTCTACCCCCCACGCAGTTCTGCCATTAATGGCTCGAAGAAGGCTTGGGCTCCTACTCCGTCGTCCATGGTGGCAAGCAGAAGAATATTGAAAATTTTTGAAAGAAACATGAAAATACACACAGATCTGAAAATAAATAGCTCTCAAACTTGATTTGCACCAAAAAATAACCACTAATGTTGGAAGATTTTGAAGTTTGAAGTTCTGGTCATTATTATTATGACCTTGAAGTCTCGAATCTGAAATTGGGCTTGGATAAAAATCATAACTATGTAGCAGTTTGTATCAACACTGTATACTAGTGTATATGGATATACAAACACCTCCTACACACTATTATACATGTTTATACAAGTTATACAGTATTGCATATTTGTGTATAATATTGTATAATTATATATTTTTTCAGTTTATAAGGATGTATATACATTGTTAGTGTGTAAGAGGCCTCTACATAAGTTTGACACTTCCTTCTCTTCTTCTTTTTTCGTGTAATGTGTTGTATGAGCGTTAGAGGGATTCTACAATTCATTTACCAAGTTTTTATTTTTTTTTATCCCGTTGGATTGCTTCAGCAATTGCACATAAAAGTGTTTGAATTTCTTACCTTCAGATAATATGTATTATTCAGCATTTTTGAGTTGCATTGTGGCTGATTTGCATTTTTTTTATCAAATGCTTAATAATCAAAGGAAACCAACAGAATAAAAACAATTGGTTGTATACAGAGGGAGCAAAATAAGGTGTCTTTCGGAAATTAGCCTATTATTTTTTGGGCTATAGATTTACAAAGTGGTATCTAGGCTATTATGTTGCAAGTCAGGTGTGTGAGTTGTATTTATGTGAAATTATCCCTTTTCCGTTAAGGCTATATGTGGCATAAGGATGGTATAATGATATCCGGAATAGATAATTTTATATACTTGGACAGCCACAAATGTTAGATAAATAATTTAACCATTATGTCAACTTTGATTGTAATGAGAACTTCTCATGAGTATGAAATTCAAACGTAATATTCAAATCTCTAGTTAAACTTAATATTTGTCATTCAACTCCATTTTATTTGATTATTAATATTTTTTATAATATTTTTTCTCAGGTAGAATTTGCAAGGATAACGAGTGAGATTAATTCTTTAATGCTATTTTGCAATGGTAAAAACAAAAATTCCAAAGGAATAAGATCCAGAGGGTAACCGATTTATTCTGAAACGGCACATCCAAAAAGTGATGGGTGTAATCCTAGTTCACCATTCGGGATAGTTTCATTTGAAGAGTTCCATCGATGATAAGACCCAAACCACCCGTTTCACTAGCTAAAAGTATTTAGTAAATATCACAAGGACTAAAATATAATAAAATAATTGTTGAGGGACTAAATTTACCATTTCCCAGATAATTATTTTCATCGTCTTCCAATTTGACTAACTGATAAATTCACATTTTGTGCCACGTAGAAGTAGGGGAAAATTAGCGGATCAGATCGAATATAAATGGGTAGAAAGCGGGTTAAACCAAGGACAGATAAAATTCGACCCACACCCATAATTAATGCGAATAAATAACAGGGGTGAGCCATGGATAATATAAATATCCTAAGTATCTACTCGTATATTATAAAGACTGAAGTTTGCTAAATAAATATTTGTACATGTAATAATGAA